AGATCGTTAGCAGAAAAACACCCTCAGACCATTACGCTTCCCGGTATTATGGCAGTAACGTAAATCGAGGCGTTTTCCGGCCGGTCAACGTACACGGCAAATGCCATTGCTCCCAATGATGTTGAACTTCAATTCATCACTGAACAGGACAGTTCGCCATTTCTGCACATTCTAGTCAATATGAGATGTAGCAAACAGGAGTTTTTTCTTTTGTTTTTTTTCAGTGAAAAAAGCGGTTTCTTTTCAGGGCGTCAAGAAAACAATCCGGCTTCAACAGCACGTAGTCTGATTGTTCGGTCCGATACAGAAAGCTCTAATTGCTTTTGTATCTCAACTGACGATATCCAGGGATCCTTCTTGACGGATCTGACGATCATAGAATCCTCTCTATAAGTGGTGGAACGTGGTCTTCCACCGTTGTTATCTGCTGCCAACTTCCCCGCAGAACGATATTTGGAACATAGTCTTGAAACGGTCCATTTTTTCACGCGATATTTATCACATATACTTTTTTGTGACATTCCACTTACGTAATCTCCAATAATTTTCTTTCTTAGTTTCAATCCAAGACTGTCGGGAGCCATTTTTGCACTTGAAGTTATATAAACAATAAAAATAAATAATCACGATTCTCAAGGCTTACCGTGTTACATTTACCTTGTGATGACACAATAATGCTCTGCGGAACACAACGTCTTGGTTGGATGTGGACTGTATTGATGTAATGAAACACTTGTTGTATTTCACTTCTTGCATTGATGTTCTTCGATTTCAAACTCACTTTGATAAACTGTTTTGATAATACTGACTGATTGACTTCCATATACTGACTGAATTACATGTCGATTTACATGTCTCTTATATAGTAAAATGAACCTGTGTGAACCTGTTCTGGAAGATTCTAGATGCTTCTTTTCGATGCTTCTGGATGCTTCTGGATGCTTCTGAATGTTTCTGGATACTTCTGGATGCTTCCAGATGCTTCTTCTGGAAACTTCTGGAAGCTTCTGCATGCTTCTGGAAACTTCTGGAAACTTCTGGATACTTCCTTTAATTGTTAAAAAACTTCTGTGACGTTGACGCGGACCAAACTTAAGAAAATGAAACAAACCTAAAAAGTTGAACTTATTTTGTCCGCTGCAAAATGGCACTTGTCAACGAAATTCTGCCTGCGTGCATGCTATGACTCCAGACTCCTGAAATGTTTGCTGTGGTAGCATAGTTCGTTTTGTTTTTAAGATATGTAAATTTAGGAACGCTTTTTAGCATTGTTCGATGTTGGTTGCAAAATGTTTTGTCCAATACTGTATAATAAATAAAAAACCTCCAGGTTCATATGATATTTTTTCAGTTTTCTTAACTTTGTTTGAGTATACGTTTTAATACTTTTTAACTGTTTACGTCTCTTTATTTTTTGGGGTATTGTTTTTTTATTGGCAATGTCGAAAGTGAGTAGAACTTTTTTGATGTTGCTTCAAAAAAGAATAAATTTTGCATAACCAAACAGACTAAACTCTGATAATATAGACAAAACACCACTCGGAATATCATTAAAATTTAATATAGCAAAATTTACTCCAATTTCCAGTGTTAATCGGCTCACAAAAATTATTTTGGGACAGCGTTTCCAGAATATTTGAATTGAGCGCCTTGTATGCATTCTGCGTTCTACCATGAAGACATTTTGAAAGCAATTCATCTGCTTATAAATCCTGGAAATTAAGTTTTAATAAATTAAAAATCTCTATTGATAATGTTATATGTTCTTTGTATGTGGTTGTACCATAAATCTTATCGTAGTGTTATTTGTACTAACTATTTTCATCTCGCGTGCTATGTTGGTATTCTTGATCATCAAATTTAGTGGAGTGAAAAAGTACTGCCCAAACTGCTTTCTTTCTTATAAACTATCAACATTGTTTCTAATTGCTAAACCCTAATAGTCTTGGAGAGACTTTATTACTGATTCTGTAAGTTTACCCTTACCCTGCAGACAAGTTTGTGTCTTTTTATTTATTTTAACCAGATTCCTGAGACCATTGTCAAACGTTTTTGCACATGATTGATGCATTCTAACTTTACAGGAGTGATACTATACTCCTCATATAGGTCAATTTCCATGACATTATTGAATAATGAAGTGCCTTCATATCCAAGATATTCGTTATATATAAAATTATACTTTTTCCATTGAACCAGGAAAGCCTTTATGGTTGATATTACTTATATGGTTAACACGCCATTTATCATGCTCATAGCTATTATTTTTATTTTCCCAATATTGACAAGCACTGCAATATTTTGAAAGAACTTCATAGTCTATGCACTTTTTACCAATCAATGCTGTCGTGACTCCATTAAGAGACTAATACCCGCACTTTTGCCACATGCCAGCAATTCTAATTCGATGATAGTAGGGACCTTCCAGATCATTTGTTGTGCATTTTTGGGCTGCCTTGTTCATACCTTTAGTTGCAGCATTCATATAACCAGTATATACTAGACCATTTTTTTTTGTTTTAAATTATTAAAAGCATTTTCACAAATATTATATGTGTTTATACTCATTGCAAAAGTTTCAATAGCCTGAAAGCCAAATCCAATCTTGCGAAATGCAACAATTGAACGTATAACACTTCATATGGCTCTCTGCCTGCATTATTTACAGTAGAAATAGTTTTTTACAGTTCTTAAAATATAACTAAATATATATAAATGACCTCAACAAAGCCTCTAACTTAGCCACTATAATTTTTGTTGATGACGCAAACCTATTCCAATTTCATGAAAACATAAATATACTTTTTGATAATATGACACAAGAATTAAATAAAATCTCATATTGGTTTAAGAAAAATTGTCCCTCAATATTGATAAAACAAAATGGACACTTTTTACCCAACATCCAGGAAAAAATGTTTACCAAATACACTGCCCGACCTTTTCATTGATAACACAATACTAAAAAGGGAAAAAGTTACAAAACTTCTCAGAGTTCTTGTAGACGAAAATTTATCCTGGAAACAACAAATCAATAATATCTCCTTGAAAGTTGCTAAAAGTATTGGAATTATATACAAAATTCGACATATTTTAAATAAACAACAATTAAAACAACTATATTATTTGTTTATCCACTGCCATTTAAACTATGCAAATATTGTATGGGTAAGCGCACACAAAACTAAACTTAAATCTCTTTATCAGCATCAGAAACACGCAACTCGCTTAATTAGTTTTGCAAATCGTTTTTTCAAATATAAAACCACTTCTGAGAGAAATGAAAGCCTTAAATGTATACGAACTAAATGTTTATAATATTTTATGTTTCATGTTTAAATGTAAAAATCATTTATCTCCTAATGTATTTATAAACCTTTATAATGGAAAACCCATAAACAAATACAATCTTCGCAATGGAAAAAATCTGCAAGAACCTTTCTGCCAAACTAAATTTGACCAACTAATTATTTCTTATCGCGGTCCTTATTTATAGAATAAAATAGTTTTGCCAAATTTTGATTTGTCATTGAATTGAACTTTAACTTCTTTCAAACGAAAATTAAAAGAAGTTATCTTTTCAGCGGGAAATATTTTTTCTTGTTTTTAGTTCTTTTGTGTCACATATTTCATATAATTTATCCAGTATATTTATATTTTAAATGCACTGTTATATATAGTTTATGTTGATTTATTTTTATTGCTTAATTTGATTTTATTATTATTATAATTATATTTGATATTGTAAAGGGCTTCATGATAAGATCGTATGATCTTCTGGAGGTTTTGCCGATTATATTTGTAATAAAGCTCTTCTGTAATTGTAATTTCTTTTATTAAAGGAAAATAAATTTACAAAAAATAAAATAACTCAATGCAATGTGAAAACCCCATTCTCAGATCTAATATGTCAGTTATTTTCAGTGATGAGTTGCATAATTTACATACTAGGATTTCAAACATTTGCTTCAAAATAGTCATATCAATCAAAATGAAGTCGCTTTCAGTATCTTCATGATTTTTTTTTTTTTTTTTGTAAGAAAATTGTTTTTGGAAGAAACTCTGCTTTTGTGGTTGTTGATGTTGTGTTGAATGAAAGTTTTTTTGCTGATCATTTTTACATCGATTAAGAAGGTGGACATTAGTTTTTTCCTTTTTTAAAACAAAATTATGTTTGTTACTTTTTGGCATTTAAAATAGTACAAACAGTTAATAGTATTCCAAATTATTATTACTTAAAGTTAAAATTTTGCATTAAAGGTTTTTGTATTCTATGAACAAAATATTAATGAAAAAATTGAAGTTAAAAAAAAAAAAAAAAAAAAAATGAATTTTATATTTTGGGGTACCACTTTAAGGTGGGCCTATACCAACAAACTTGTTTCACTAATGCTTGATCTTAAAAAACTTTTTACTGCAAATAAGAGGATGCCCAGATATAAAAAAAGAAATAAAAAGAAAAAAAATTTTTTAATATTTTTTACGGGCTCAATAAATCATGTTGGGTTTTGAAATGCCCCAATTCCTGTTTCCTTAATAACTTTTAAACCATATTAAAATATAGTAACTACGCAGCCGAATAATAAAATAGTACAACTATCAAAAAACCACGTTTGTTTAAAATTCTTGGAGTACTCTTGGAATTTTTCATTTTCTCCAATATTTTCGAAAAAAAATGTACAAAAAGAAAATAATTTTCTTGTATTAAAAAACTCAGTTTCTTATAAATATAAAAATAAATCCAAATGAAGAGTTACGGAGTAAAGTTAAGGGTCCAATCTTGGCTTAGAATGGACGAAAACAACTTGTTACTTTGAACATGATATGTTCAGAGACGCCTTGAACATATCATGTTCAATCTCAGAACATGATAAATTCAGAGACGCCTGTGTGGACGTCTAAACAGACCGTTTAGAGTTTATTTTAAGGGTTTTGTTTATAAAAAAGTATGCGCAAATTATTATAGATGGCTATATTGTTTTATTGAAAATTCAAGTAGTTAACAAACAAACTTGATTGCGAAATGATGTTTGTTAAAAATTAGGTTTTTTGCTTCATTTGAATTCAGTGAATTTTAATGGACTTATGCTTTTAAAGTTTGTTTTTCATTTTTTTTAATATAATCAAATTGTTTTTTATAATAAGTGTACAATTTTTAAACAAAAGTTTTACTAAAATGTAAGTTAATAATATTGTTTTATACACTCTACACAGGAGGGGTGTATAAATTTTTAACATATATACCAACTAGACCTTCTTCAATTGGTTAATATATTTACAGTTGGTTAGTCAATGTAACAAGAATGCGAGCAGTAATTAGTCGAGACCTTGACTTAAAAAACTACTCGAAAATACAAAATAAAAATTACTTAATAATCTTGGCATATGAATCATTATAATCAACCTTAATAAAAATTAAATATTTTATTTAAATAATTTTTAATAGAATATTTTTCATTATTATTTACAATTATTACTTAAAATAGTTTTAGTATATCTATATTATACTTTTATTGTATGTAATATTATTTAATAATTTTAATCAATAATAAAAAATAATTGTGTAAGTATCCTTAATAAAAAGATTCATGTCACTCCATGATTCTCTGATACTGTAATGCTGTTAAAATAGAGCATTAAAGATGGATCTAATGTTGCAACATAGTTTTAAGAAATTTAATAAAAAATTTAATTAAATTTTATTTCAATTTTCCGTCACGCTGTAAAGATGGCACTGTAAAGCTCTATTGCTGTTATCTCAAACTATTAAAAAAGTTTTTAATCGTCTAAAGTAAGGTAAGGTGCAATATAGTTTTTAATGAAACTCTTTAATAAAATTTTCAACTTAAAATTTTTCAAATTTAAAAACCTTTTTGATAAAAAATGGCGAGCGGCAGTGCCGCTAAATAATTCTGAAATTATTTGCCGCAGTGTAAACTAAGAAACTATTTTAATGCAATATTCACTAATGCAAAAAACGAAAGGTTTATATTAATTAAAGGAATGCCTGGCCAAACCCAACTCTTCAATCAATATATGTGCACTCATTTGTCTAAATGACAAATTGTTGTGTGGACTACCAGAGGCATTGCAATTTGGTAGACATAGTAAAAAAACTCTTGCCAGCAATTAATAATTTTTAATAAAATAATGTAAGATAATTTTAAAAACTACTGCACATAAAATGTATCAAGCGAATATTAATAACTTGTTTTTAATTGTAACTGTTATGAGCCGTTTAATTAAATTTGCTAATCGGTTTTTATATTCATGTATAACAAATTATACAGAAAAAGAAATATTTAATGTGTACTGGCTATGTATTAAAAATTTATTGGCTGCAATGATTTACTTAATTTTGAATCATGTTATTAAATACATTTAATAAGTTTATTTAATAAAATATTACTTTTTTTGAAATTTTTTTAAAATTTGGTTTCTTTTGAGTACTAGGTTGACTCACTTTTGAAAAAACTTTTATCGGATATTAGTAGGGACCCGTTAAATATTTAAGGATTAGTTGAAACCGATAAAATTATATTTTATTTAAAAAAAACTTTTAAACAGAGTGTTAATTTATTATACAGTTTTTAAATATTTTTAAAATGCAAATTAAATAAATAGGTTATTGATAAATTAAAATGGTTTAATTCATTTTTATGTTTGTTTTACGCTTACAATTTAGTTAAAATGAATCAAATTTAAAAAATAATCATCAGTAAAAAGCAATAATTAAAATGTCAAAAAATATTTTTAAAAATAACGCTAATAAAAATGAATCTCAAATAATTGTTCTCGAAATTTGGCTGCTCACATTATGCAAGAATAAAAAATTTAGTAACATTTTATTAATTAACACAGAGCATTGATTGAACTCGGCTTATTAATTTACTATTAATTATCATTTAAATTTACTATTTTCCGAAATATAGCAACTGATCTACAGCAAAGACCTGGAGAAAAAAGTTGCTTGAGTAATAATTTCTTGCGTGTTTTCAACCTTGAAACATACCTTGAAAATTTCATTTAATCAAGCTTTATTCATCCAGTGTTTTCTTATTATCCGGGGGACGCCCGTCGGACATCTTGCATCTCGCGGAAAACGCGTGCTCACTGGGATGAGGGTTTATTCAAATAATTTCAACTAATACTACAGTTTTAATGATTTGTTTAATTTTCAAGATCAGTTTAATTAAATTCATATAGTATTATCCATTTTATACAAAAGTATTCACGTTGTCCAAAATAATTGCAGAAATTGTTATGTTTCTATTTTCAACAATTGTTGCTGAAACTTTTTTTTTTCCATTTCCAAAAAAAATGATTGTTACAGAAGTTGTTTAGTTTTTACTTTTACAACAATTATTGTAGAAATTGTTTTGTTTGTACTTTCACAACATCCGTTACGGAGGTTATTTTGTTCGTATATTCATAACAATTGTTGCAGAAATCGATTTGTTTCTAATTGTTGGAGAAATAGTTTTGTTTTAATTTCTACAGCAATTGTTGTGGAAACTGTTTTCTTTCTATTTCCTTGACAATTGCTGCAAAAATTGTTTCCAACAAACACTTGTTGCAGAAACTGTTTTATTTTTATTTCCAAAAAACAATTGTTACAGAAGTTGTTTAGTTTCTTCTTTCACAACAATTATTGTAAAAATTGTTTTGTTTGTATTTCCACAACAATTGTTTCAGAAATTGATTTGTTTCTATTTTTACATTAATTGTTGCAGAAATAGTTTTATTTTTGTTTCTGCAGCAATTGTTCAAATAATTATTTATATTTATTCTTATTAGTTATATTTTATTATAATTATATTGTTTGTTTTATTATAGATAATTTTATTGTTATTATTATTTTTATTGTTATTATTATTATTTTTATTGTTGTTATATGATTATATGTAAACTTTGAAAAGGAAAATAAAAATGTTGTTGTTGTTTGTTTTGTTTCTATTTCCGAAATATATTTGTTCCAGAAGTTGTTTAGTTTCTACTTTCGCAACAATTATTGTAGAAATTGTTTTATAGCAGAATTGCAATAATTGTTGTGGAAATACAGCAATTGTTACAATTCAAGTTTTCAATTGTTGTGGAAATGCAAAACAAAACAGTTTGTATTTCCACAACAATTATTGTTGTTTTGTTTCTGTTTCCATGACGATTGCTTCAAAAATTGTTTACAACAAACAATTGTTGCAGAAATTGTTATGTTTCTACATTCACATCAATTATTGCAAAATATATTTTGTATCTATTTCCACAAAAGTTTTTGCAGAAATTGTTTTGTTTGAAATTCCACTATTTAATAAATTGTTTATTAATAAATTTTGTTTTAGTAGGGCAAATCAACTTTCAAAAACTTATGCTTTAAAAATGTTTTTTGAGACGAAATGTGACGTTGAACTCAATTCTAGAACAAGTTACAGCTAAGTTGACAATTTAGGTTAATAAATGGAATTTTTTTCAAGATGGCGGACAAAAATGACTGGCAGTTAAAGTTTTTTGTACTAAAAACCAACAACCATCGATTTCAATATGGCTTTTCATAGAATTTCAAAGCTGCTGAATTCAAGCCTGTAGTCAATTTACGTGCATTACTTTTCACATGTCCGAAATTGTAATTAGTGTTTGACTTTTTTATTACACCTTTTTTCTGTTGAAAACGAATTACAATACATGATTGACAAATTATAGCACAAACTAACTAGACCAATTAAAAAGTATGCGAGCTATTTATATATAATGAAAGTTGCCGACGACCTTGTTGACATTAAACACACATCTTATCGCTCATCACAGGACCTAATTGAAGGATGCTTTGATGCTGTTTGAAAGCTCAGTTATGTTTGACTGTTTGTCAATATGTCAATGTTTTAATAATATTGATTAAGTGAATTAGGTAAAAACCTAGTAAAAACGGCTAAAGCATCAATAAAAAGAAGTTCAACCATTGTGAAGTTAACTAACCAATAAGTTCCAGACTTTTTTTAAAATAACAAGTGCAGGCAAACCTCTCCTACTATAACATGGAAGAAAAGAAATCATTGAACTTTAAATGCCAACAGTAAATAATATTTTTTCATAATTTTGTAAAAAGCCAGGATATCGACCAATCAAATACGTTACCAAAAAGTTTTAGGAGTTTCATAATGTCTGAAAATCATATAAAAAATGTTGCACAAAAAACATCGATAAGAACAGAATGAAATGAATTTTCAATAATGATTTTTCACAACGAGCATTTCTAATAATCCAGTGCAATAAATTCTTTTTTATAGATATGGAGATATGAATAAGAACTTGGCTCAAAGGAAATCTCATAAAATAAAATAAGAAGAAAATTTTTTTGAGAAAAAAAAAAGGATGCTAAAAGTTCTAGGGAAATAAAAAATCCTAATAGCAAATACTTAAACTCTGTGTTCAAACGATAGTGAATTTCAATTTATGTGAAAGAAAGCTCTTATTACATATAAAATTCCATAAGCATCTTAGGAATTCTTTGTCAAAACTTTTTTATATCAATACTTTGATTTAAGAAAGTATTGATATAAGAAAGTATTGACAAGTATACATCTTAAATCAATACTTTAAAGCAAACAAAACCTTTAAACTACCTGTTTCAGTACCTAGCTCTTTTTTATATATGATTACTTTTTTACGTCATAAACTTCTACTTTATTATTATAAACCTCTACTATGCCTTATTATTGTAATGACTATATTTTTCTTTTCAGTTTAATTAAATAATTAATAAATATGTTTTTGATTTTTGAAGCAACTGTTTTTTATTTTATTTTCAGTCACGATGAAAACTTTTGCAACCTGTAAATTATTAAAAGATTTATAAATTCAAAAGCTAAATATAGAACAGTTGCAAAAAAAATGCTATCAAGCTTTGTAAATTTCTTAAAAAATTACCAATAACTTAGATTACTCGACTAATAATTTTCACTTAATAATAGATGTATTTGATACTATTTAATGCTCTAGAGAATAATAAAGCGTCAAATACATGTATTGTGTGGAAGCTTCCACACGATACTAATGTTGAATCTTTTTTAATTTCAATGTTTCACATTATTTTCTTATTGTTTCTAGAAAGTTGAATATGATCAAATGGAAATTGACAATTCTAGTTTTGACTAGTTTGCACGTTGGTTTAATTGTAAGCAATAGTAATAAAATCGAACTAGGGATAGGAAATTTTCCAATACCAGGTGAACTATTTTTATTTTAAATGAGTTATTCAAACATTAAATTTCTAAAGTAATTTTATAAGAATTATTAATAATTAGTTTAATAGTACATTTATTCCTTCATTAAGCTAACAGCCATCACCATAGCCAAAGAGCTTTTATTTAAATATATCGTATACTAAGTTTATTGGATTTTTGGGCAAATGAAACAATTGTTCTATATATTAAATACACACACACATATATTTTTCTGTAAATATATATATATATATATATATATATATATATATATATATATATATATATATATATATATATATATATATATATATATATATATATATATATATATATATTATATTTATATATATATATATTGAAGAGTCAATTAATTACCCAGTGGGTAGTTAATTTTAATTACCCAGTGGGTAATTAAGCTAATAAACGACAATATATCTTTAGCTGCACATTGTAGCATTGTTGCTAACTAAAACTTAACGACAAATCTGAAGCTACCGAGCTAACACAAAACGTTCAATAAACGTTGCAAACGTTCATAGAACGTGTTCAAACCTTCGCAACGTTTGTTGAACGTACTTTAACGTTTTGTGTTAGCTGGGAATTAGATGGTTACATATCGTAGCTTTGTAGATGGCAATATTATTACGATATATCGTTAGGTACATGTCACAAGTATAAAGCTAACTATATTTAACGACAAATCTAAAGCTAGTCGTACATACCGTAGCTTTATAGCTAGCGATTTTGTTACGATGTATTGGTAGGCACATATCATAATTTATTGCTTCATCGCTACTACATAACGACAAATCTATAATCACTATGTGACTGTAGTCACCTAACTTTTGAAAGATATGCATATTATATACATATCAAGATTGTTGATATAAGGTATGTATATACATATTAAAGATTTTTAGTAGGTGATTTATAAACAATAGCTACATATTGGTTACAATTTATAAACAATATGTGGTAGCTACATACCGTAGCTTTGTAGCTAAACAGAACTATATCAAATCTATAAATCGTCGACAGTGACGTAGCAAGAAATTTTGTGCCCGGGGCCAAAAATAAATATTGCGTCCATTTATTCCCATTAGTTTTTCTTGTATTTTTTAGATCCATTTCCATTAACTCTTGTATTTTGAAGTAATATATAATATATTTTATATGTATATATATATATATATATTTTTTTTTTTTACACAGTTTAGCATACATACGTGTGCTTTGTATAATTTACTCATTGTGCATATGTTTTCAGTATTTAGTTGCACCACCCTTTGGCTTTTATATGTGCTGCAACTTTATTTGGCATACTTGCACAGTATTTGGAAACTAGCTGTGTAATATCTGGGTTGTGAAACCATACATGATTAATGTGTTCGATTTGGTTACGTTTGTTGGTGGTGGTGACCTCGTTTTTTCTGTTTTTCTAACTGTGTCATATCCCTTTGATTGGGTTCATAGGAATACTTGTCAGCCAGGGCATCACCTCCATACCAATGTCAACAAAGTAAACCTTGATAATGTTTGCTGTATGGCAGGGTGCCCTATTTTTCATTTAAATGCAGTTCCCATCAGAAAACCAGTACTCTAGTTGAGGAATAAGAAAAGTTCTTATAACTTTCGTTTACTGTTTATCACTCATCATGCCATCTAAATTGTATAGACGTCCAGGTCCTTTGAATTATATTACGCTACAAACCATGACTTTAGTCGATTGTTTGACGTTCTGCACTAGACACTGTGAAAGAAATTCTTCTTCTGGTCTTCTTCTGTGATTCATCAGAAAATTATAACTTAAACACACCCATACACTATTGCTGATTCTGTTGGATATGTTTTTCTATTCCTAAAAACAATTTTAATTTTGATTTCAAAGAAATCAAAATAACATATTAAAAATAATAACTAATAATATTTAATAATTAATATGTAAAAAACTGTAAAAACAAAATTAACACTTAATTATGCGTTAGTAGTGTAATGGCAGAGTAGTTACTTCATAAGTAAGAAGTTATGAGTTTGATTCCTGCCAAGTTCCTAGTAGTAATGCGGAGGTGAATAACAACAAAAAATAAATGAATAAAATAACCTAATATAAAGACATAAAAAAATTAATTTTTTACCTCTTTTCGTGACTTGAGGCTCGAAAGGTTTAAGAGTCAGTGCAGTTATAACATTGTAGAAATAACATGTCATAAAGTTTTTATTAATAAATTTAATTTTAAGAATTTGAAATTCATATAAATCAACTTTTTTTTTTAACTGATTATATATTTATATCAGTTAACTTAAAAAATAATGAAAAATTTAAGCTACATTATATGACTATGTATTGTATAAAATTATTATCTTTACTTCAAGTAATACTTAATAAATGTTACTTTTTTTAATAAATGTAATTACTAAAAACACTATTAAATTAATAAAAAAAAAAAATACAATAGAGATAACAATACAAAATCTATAAATTCAATCCTTACTAATCTTTGATTTAAAAAATATTATTATAAAAATTCATAAAAGAAACACATTACTCAAGTTATAAGAAAGCTAATTACGTAATTTCTAGTCTAGAATTAGTTCCACAAGAAACTAAAATTAAAAAAAAAAATTCATTCAAATAAATAAAAAAGGTATTATGAATTAAAACAGCTGAATTAAATTTCATAAAAAATAAACTCTGTATTTTTATTAACATTTAAACTATTAAATAGTTTAATGATGGGTATTTAAAAAATCCATAATGGCATTAATTATTTATATATAAAATATTTATATATAATTATTTATAAATAAAATATTATGTGAAATATTATATGTTAGAAGTTTTTACTGTTAAGTATACAAAAAATAACAAAAATTTCAACAGCTTTTGAAAATCAAATAAAGTTTTAACAAACTTTTATTTATCATTAAAATGATAAAAAAATTTGATATATAATTCGACTGCAGAATATAAAGAAATAATGTAATAATTATTACTATAACAGATTATAATGCCTAAAAATCAGATTAAAAATATAATATTTTTTTCGATAATGGTTTTTCAACCATTTTAAAATGCGCAAGTGTTTTGTTGTGTTTACGTTAGAATGCTGACGTTGCTTTGATGTCAAAAGAAAAAACGTAAAAAAAGCAACGTTGTTCCAAAGTCGTTCTAACGTTTATTAGACAAACATTGGTTTTACGTTAAACAACCAACGTTGTTCTAACGTCTTTTTAATGTTAACATTCAAGACGTTAGATAATAACGTTTTTCCAAAGTTGTTCCGATGTTTGATACACAAACGTTAGAATAACACTGTTATGTCGACGTTGGAAAATCATTGGAGTTTAGTTAACTTAAGTCGCGACTAAAATCTAACAAAAATACAACAACGTCTTTTTCTTACTGGGAATGTTGTGTTATAAGTTGGCAAAGTGTGACATTTTACTTTGATTCAACGTTGTATTTATTTTTTGGATTGCATTGTATTTTACGTTGGCACAATGCTGCATTTAATGCGAATCGGAATCAGATTTTGTTATAATTTTTTAAAATATTATATGCTTGTGATTTGGTATTTTAATAATTACGGAAAATTTTATTTAAGATACATTATTTTTCACTCGCAACGTTGAGTTGTATTCATTGTAACAATGTTAGTTTATATATATTTAATACAATAATGGGTTATTTACATTTAATTAACCTTGGGTTTACATTGTAAAAACAATTATGTTTTGCGATGGTTTTACGTACGTTGGCCCAATGTATCTGTACAAGCTGTTTTTAGCTGCGAGAGTATTGGCCTTTTATCTATATTATTGTTAAAAGCATGATACTGAATCAACGTTGGATTTGCATTGGAAAAAAGCACAGGTAGGAGGAGGAGGGGAGGAGCGTGTACCTCCCCCCTTCCGCCGCTCATTAACATGGTTTGTGTTTGATACAACCAAAATAATAAAAATTAAAAAAAACCTACAAGCAAAAAATAATACAGTTTGGGTAGTCTAGAAAGAAATCTAGTATCATCATTGATTAACGCGTATTGGGCAGAGTTTGGGCTACAAATATTGTATTGTAATAAGCAAAAAAAAAAATACAAAAGAAATTAAAAAATTTGTATACCAAAAATATGTAAGAATATTTGGCGATTTCAATATAGTGCTCAATGACATAGACAAATTTTCTCCAATTTTTAGAAAAAAATGCTCATCGAGCTAATACTTTTACATTTAATTAACACCCTGAGTGTTAAAGACATGTAGAGTATTATAAGCCTTTAATCTTTGGTATATACTAATAAATCAACTAACAACATAACGTACATGTATTCTCGTCTTGATAGACTCTATTTAAGTAATCACTTTCATCAATTTATTGATATATATCAAAAACTAATGATCCACTCAGACCACCACAACGCAGTTTATGCTCATATCAAAATAAATGATTTAAAAATAGGAAAAGTTATCTGGATCCTTTACCACCTAAAAAAAAACTTTAACAAAAATATAACAAACATCATAATTACACGCACTCCTTTTATAAACGTCTCGAATAACAAAAACGACGAGTGGGACAATTTTAAAAAAGACATAAAAATCTTTTCGAGAAAATATAGCAAAAATGAGGCAAAAAACCACCGCCGCAAAAAATTCACTATGAAAAAACAACTTAAAAATGCCTCAAAAAAAGCGTATTTTAACCCACGTATGAAATATTTCAGTCAAAAATTAAAAACTAAATTAGAAAACTATGAAAAAAAAAAAGATAATGCTTTTTGGGATAAAAAGCATTTTATTCTAAACTGTATAAAGAATGTAGACAGTATATTTCATCAATGATTTTTACTAGAAAACATGGACATTAACAAAATCATCCAACAGCAACGACACTCATTAGACTAAACCATAACTTTAAACAAAGTAAAGGTGCTTTTTAATCCATAAAAAAAAAACGATCAATTCACCCTGAAGTGACAGTCTTACTGAGGAACAAGTCA